ATACCTAGGAGGCAGTAAAGAACACCTTTGTCTGATAAGCACTAATCCATGAATGATGAAAGGTCATTCATCTCTCCCTCCTGTCTATGACAATGACTTGAATGGTTAGCTATGTAACAAAATTTCTCATCAAAGAACTCTAAGAATTAGCCAGGAAGAAATCATTTTAAATATTTTGAATTGTTTTGCTATCTGAAAACAAGTGTGATTTAACGTTTCGTCTACTAAATTTATGTCCAGGAAAATTTGGAGTTGGGCAACAATATAACACATCTTGAGATTTCATGGACAGTGAACAAACCTTGGCATTACAGAGTCCACACCCGAGTTCCTCCTGCCCGAACACATTTCAGTTTGGAAGCATACTGTGTAGAGATAATTCTACTTCCCTCTTCCTTCCCTTTCATTATCTAACTTTAAATGCTGGAATTCTTGGGAATCTGCTCTGGGTCACTGTTATTTTCCATAAGTCACACTTTTCTATGGACTCTGATTCACTCTTATTTTGTGGCTTCAATACGGTGTCTATGCTAACAACTCTTAGATTAACATCTCAGGTCAGTATCTTCCAACTAGTTTTCCTCCTGAGGTCTTGATCCTACTGTTGCTGGACAACCCTTGGATATCTCCAAAGCCTTCAAATTAAACTTATTAAGATGAAGAAAGTCCACCAGCATCCTCCCCTCTGCTTTAAATATTTTTCAAATCTCCCTACCTTTTTTCCATTCTCACTCCTGCCCTCATACTGCAAAAACATTGTCCTCTCCCACTAATCTTTTAAGATCCTCTGGCTACAAGATGTTCAATTTTTTCTCTACCTAACTTATTCCCCATACTTTGTACAATGATCTTCCCTGAGTGATTCCTGTTCTTAGATTCTTTGATTGTTTCTCCATATAGTTAGGATAAAGACCCAATTTTGAAGTGACTTACCATATCATACATGGCCTACTCCTGTCGGTGTCTTAACATCTAACTCCATTTGCTATTTTGTGGTTGTTCTGGATTTTTCTTAGCTTTCTGGCATTTATCAAGATTTCTTCTGTTTCAGGGCTTTTATACTTGTTATTCACTCCACCTCAGAGGTGCTCCTTCACTTTTAGCAGTCACCACACTTCACTGAATATCTTCTCATGTTTATTCCTCAAGTCTCAAGTTTAAAGATCATTTCTTCAGAGAGATTTTCTTTAAGTCCTCAGTCTAGCACCCCAAGACCTCCTTTTTAGAGACTCATAATTATTTAAATTAGTTACTTTGTTTAATAAATGTGCTTTTCTGCTACAAGCTTGCCTCAAGATGACAAAAAACTTCCCAACTGCTTCCTCTTCTGACTACAATGCTTGATGGTAAGATCTCAATACATACGAGTGATCCTCTGTATGTTACCAATTTGTGGGTTTTCCTATTTGCTAAAATTTATTTGTAAGCCTCAAATTAATATTCATGTGGTCATTCCTGAACACATACAGAATGGTGAAAAATTTGAGTCATCTGGTGCACAAGTTCCCAGCTAAGGCCAAACGAGGCAACATCACCTTCTTGCCTCAGCTCTTACACTGTAAGCATGTACTCTTTTCCTGTCCAATTAGCACCAAGATTTTCAAATTTTTTTGTGCTTTTTGTTGGCGAGTTCTTTATTTAAAAATGGCCTACAAACGTAACACTTAGCCCCAAGCTGAAGAGCTTCTTAGTGCTTTTAAATACAAGAAGTCTGGGCTGTACTTTTCAGAGAAAATATGTGTTAAGTAAGTTTCCTTCAGGTATGAGTTACAGTGCTGTTGGTTCTGAGTTCAGTGTTAACAAATGAACAATGTATATTAAATAAGATGCCTTCAAGCAGACACACGCATAAAACAAGGTTATGTATTGTTGTTATTCTAACCAGAGACTCACAGGAACCCAACACTGTATCTCCCGTAGGAGCAATGGCTCAGTATTTACTAATCCAGTATTCACAGTAGCTTTATAATGCATGACTACTGTGAATAACTAGAACCAACTGCACTTGACTTATTAAGCAATGTCAATATAAACACTGTGGGGATTGTTAGGGCTGCAGTTATAAAGGACCTGAACTGCTCATGTTTTCCAAGGAGAGGTCATATTAAGTAGGAGGAAAATACCAAGAAAGGAAAAAACTTAGACATCACTGGAAACAAATATTATCCCTGACTGCTGAAATGTTACTGCATGACCTTTTAAACTTCTTCACAAATACACAAGAAGCTACTTTCCTAGATTGGAGGAAAGGATGGTATGGAGGCAGGAATGCTTCCGAGGACTCTGGAAGGTTTTTCATGAGAAACATCCTGAGGTGGAAGGTGAGGGCAAACATTAAGGTGTGGCAGCCCCAGAAGAGGAGCAAGGGGCTTGGTTAGTAGGGACTTGGGATGGGAAAAGAAGGAGCTGGAGACAGAGGCCTTTGCAGGCAGGACTCACGAAGATGAATTCTAATCTTGAATCAGCATTCCTCTGCCATTTATGTGTTAACTGAGGGTGGAACACATGGTAAGCTGGACCAGCTTGCCAAGCATCTAGGTGTCTATAGTAGGCCAGGCTGAGAATAATCAGCCCCCAAGAGTCCCAGAGTCAACAGCAATCAGAGGAGGAGTCAGTACCCCGGACAGTTCCATGGAGCCCTAAGACTGTTAAATGATGTCTTGGAAAGTGTAGTTTTTACCTTGGATGTCCTCAGTCTTCCTGGCCATCCCTGCCACCCTCAAATGAAGCAGTCATATTGTAAATGGCCCTGGCATGGCCTTCCTTCTTGGAAAAGGGAGATTATCTAGCCTACATGAAATTCTTCCCTACACACTTTTGTGGCCTGTTTGGCAGGGGGCTGGGAACCCTGTGCCCTCTGTGGTTGAACCTGATGAAATGCCTTAGGCTGCCTGGGAATAGTATTTCTTCCTTTCAGCATTGTGGTTCCTTTTGTTCTGTTGCTTTTAAGGTAGAGGATATGGAAGAACAGTTAAAAGATGTGGTATTTCTTAGCTCTCTCTGGCCTGGGGAGCTAACAATTGTAGAGTTCCCATTCTGCTCCCCACTGTGCTCCAACCCCAAACCCTTTGCTCAGGCCCATTAATCTCCTCTATCAGGTTCCCTCTAATTAGGCCAGTGGTGTCACACACAAAGGGCTTGGTGCATTCACACTTGTCCTGACTGAGAGATCCACTGCTGAGTGCCTTTGGCAGAGGCATACCTTGCTTTTGAGAAGTGTCTGTGCCATGAGAATCATCATGAATATGATGAATATGATGATTGTTGTTCAGTCAGACTTTCAACCACCAGCCACTCTACTACTGGTCCTAAGACAATCATGGTGAACAGTGGGAGGAGAAGCTCAGAGGTCTTTGTGTTGTTTTCTTCTTCATGAAGGGGAATTGAAAATTTTTACAGGTATGGTTCTTCACATGGACTCAGGATGCCATTTGAGTGGACAGGTGAGGAAGAGGAGTCCCTTTCCACTGCACCTTTTTCTGGATATGACCACCTCCACTCTATATGCACTCTGACAATAAACATACTGGGGAGCACAGGAAACAGAGACAGAGAAGGCTGCCTCTCATCTTCCAGTTTGAGCCTCTGGCATGGTAGCAGGTGACCGTGTGCCAGCTGTGACTGCCAGGATGGGCTGTGGACAGCACAGGCTCTAGAAGCCCTACAGCTAGCATTGGCTATGCCCTTTCTTCCCGTGTGGCCTGAGACATTCCAACCACCCCAGGCCTCCATATTCTTTGGTAGTAGAAGAAGGATAACAATGTAATAATGTGATGTTGTGTTTTGTTAAAACACAAAGTGTTTTAAAAAATCAAATGTTTGTAACCTTCACAGAGTTCCATTCACAACAGGACACTTTTGGTATATGGAAGACTGAATGGATGCACAGGCAGTTTGAAAACTGGAATGCTGTGAAAGTATTCATTATTTTATTTTTTTGAACAATGACTTTTATATGTCTAATCTGAGTATATTCAGTGTTAGGGGAAACATTTTGACTACTTTACCCATGTTAAAGCAAAAACAGTGCAGCCTCTTTAAGAAAGTGTTTGCCAACTGGAGTTGGGTTTCATTAGCGACCCTGAGGGAAGTGAGAAGAAACACATTATCAGGACAGCTCTGGAGGCTGGAGGGGGACACAGAGCACAGACTAGAGAAGGCCTTGAGGGGATAGCAGGGCAGAGGCTGCTTCAGCACAAGTCAAGAGAGAGGAGTTAGGAAAGCAGTCTGCATTGTAGAAGTGAAATTTGGTATATAATGAACCATTCAACTCTTATACATCAAATAGAACTTACAGGCTGAAAACCAGAGAAAATAGAGAGGGCTGAAAGACAGCCAAGTGCTAATCAAAGAAATGTTGAGAACATCAATGTCATCACAGTTACAGGTATGACGAAGTATTCTTTATGTACTTTGAAGTTAAAAAATGAATTTCTCACTTGGTCTCTACCCTGTTTCATACTTTATAAATAAATTTTAGCCATTTTAGGCTTACAATTATAAACAAACAAGTATAATCCTTTACGGAAAATCCATGGGAAGTGAATTTGGGAAGATAGTTCTTTGTACTTTTTCCTTTCTTCCTCCCTGCCCCTTCCTTTTTGCAGTGCAGGGGATGGAACCCAGAGTCTTATGCTTGCTAGGTAAGCACTCTACCCCAGCTCAGCCCCTTATCTCTAATTTTTTATGTCTGAACTAAGTAGAATTTCTGTTGTGACATCATAAAAAATGAAGAGCTACAAATCACCCAAGAGAAAGCAGGAAGAGCTAAGCAGCTACAAATCACCCAAGAGAAAGCAGGAAGAGCTAAGCTTCATCCCTGTGATCTGCCCAGAAGTGTTAGCTCTAACTGATAGTATTGTTAGAATGATGCCAATTCGCTGTTTTGAGTTTCCTGCCCTGTGAAGTAGGTATAGTCACCATGCTGCCTGGGAGGCAAGCAGGGCCCCTGGAGGGCCAAGGGCTGCCCTCTCACTACCCCTGCCTGAAGCAGTAACTACCTTTGTTGTCATGCCAGATCCTCAGCTTGCAGAGGTGGCCTAGGCTCAGCATGTCAGAGAAATTGAATGTGTCCGTGTTGTTCCGCTCAAACTTGTTCCAGTTGGCTGATTGCTTCAGGGCCAAGGTCCCGCTGTCCCCGTTCTCTCCAAAGATGATGATGAACACGTTGGCATCGGTGCCTGCTCCTGGGGTCCACAAGAGAAGGCTCTCGGTGCCAGTCTTAGACACACAGCCCCCTTGCTCTGGCTCTGCTCCCAGGTCCTCAGAGGAGCCATGGGACAGATGTGCAGAGTGCAGAGTTGACAGGCCAGAAGAGAGGTCACAAAGGACTGGTGAGTATCCAGGGATTCAAGGTTTCTAATTCTATAATGCACCTTCTCTTTGTGCCTTCCAAATGCTGTTGGCCTAATTGGAGTCATACAACTGTGAAAGTTTTAGCACAAAAATGCATTTATTTCTGGGAAAAAGCTCTCAAACTTAAAAGGCTTGCCATGCAGCCTGGCTTTACAGGCTTTCTTATGCATGAGCTGGGTTCAGGAAAAACCCTAAAGGTGTGTACTCCCCCAAGTCCACTTTTGGTTGACACTCTTCACTAGAGTTTCGTATTGTTTGATTAAGCCAAACAGAGGTATGTGTAGTGTCCAGGTACAAAGCAAATGTTAACCCAGTGTGGTGGTGTATCCTGAAATCCCAGCTACTCGGGATGGTGAGGCAGGAGGACAGTGAGTAAGGCCCAACCTTGGTTTCTTAGTGACTTAGCAAGACCCTGTCTCAAAATTTTAAAAAACAGGCCCTGGATTCAATCCCCAGTACCACTAAATAAATAAATGCAAATGTCTTTGGAAGAGGGGCCCTGTGGGGCTTGTCTGACACACACCTGATGTTATGTGTGAATTTGGCAGTTATTTTCTAAGAGTACACTGTGAGGGATAGAGAGGCATGAAAGCATGTGGACTTGGACTTTTAACAAAAAGAATGACGGGAGGGGCTATTATGGGGAGAAAAAGGAGAGGGAGAAGATAAAAACAAATTTTACTGGATTTATTGACCATTATTTATGCTTTAGAAACTATCAGGAGACCTTCATTTCTTTGGATAAATGATTCTGTTAAAATCCTATGCTACCACGGCCAACAAGGGAATCCTTCAGTAGTCATTTACAGCCAGGATGAGTTTGCTAGATCCTTTGCAATGGCTCTCAGTGAGCAGGCATGGCACAGGGAAGGTAGGTAGAAGCCATTGCCTTGATGGCTACACAAAGTGGGTTTCCTCTGAGCTCCTGTCTTTGACACTGGCTTTTTATTTTTTCCTCTTGGATTTGTCTGGAAGCCTTTCTTCTGAGTGTTCCATCTGCCTAAGTGGCTTCTGTTTGTCTTTCTGGACTTGGCTTTGGCATCACCTCTGGGAAGTCCCCATGAGCCTCACTCCTGTCCTGCTCTGGGCTCCCTGGTAGGGCCCTGGGCTGGCACCGGTCAGAGCCAGGCTGCTCAGCACTGAATTTCCCACACCCAAATGTCAGACCTGCAAGACTCCATGACAGTCACATCTCTACCCTCAGATACCAAACCAGAGCTGGTACACAGTAGACAATTGCCCACCATCTAGGGGTAGGAAGGACCCTGAGGATCTCCAAAATGCACAGCCCGGTTGAGAGGTAGCTAGGTGCAGCTGGAAGACAGAGGGCTCTGGGTCAAGCCCTTTCACTTTTCTAAAAGCACAGATGAGACTCCCCAAAAATATTCTTCCTCACTTCTCTGGGGGGTAGGGAAGAACCCCAGTTGGTCCCTGGGAGGAGATACTCTGTCCAGGCAGAGCATGACACATGGTGGACTGAGTAGCTCTCAGATGGCCATCTGAGAAGAAGTGCCTTAGCTGGAGATCAGGTACTGAGCCAAAATTTGAGGATGGGGGACAGGGTGGTAGGATGTGGGAAGGGACCTACCCAGGACATTGCTGGTCTTCACTGTGACAGTATAGGATGTCCACTCCATCATCTCCTCCTCGTCAATGACGGCACACATCTCACACACCAGTGTCTTCTTGCCCTTCCGCTGTGACAACCAGTCTCCATAGTAGAACATGGTCAGGTCTCCGGTGCTCATGTTCTTCAGCAGGATCTGGGGAGGGACCAGTGCAGGAATGTGCTTGCTTTTCCTACCCACTCCACTGAGTGCAGCCACTCCTGAACTACAGTGATTCAAGGTCTCAGACCCTAGGGGAGCTCTGTGACCAGACTTCAGGGTTTAAAAGCCCCCTAGTGACTCTTTCACCTGGAGGAAGTAGGAAGTGAAAATGCCTCTGAAAGATGGAAGTGTCTCCTGAGCAAGTTTCAGAAAAACAGACTAACCAAGCCACTGTCAGCCATAAACCCCAGAGAGCAGTGAACTGACGATGTCGCCAGATTGTTCTTAGTATGGCACCATATTGTCAGTGCAAGAGAAATCTGTTAATGTCTGAACAGGAGAGGAAGCGCCTAAGGGGACCAAGGACATATGGCCTTTGGTGGATGAGGTATGAGAGACTAACCCAGGCAGGCAAGTGGAAGACCTCATGTTATGGGTAGAATTGTGTCACCCTACCCATCCAAATGTGTCCTGCTGGAGTCCTAACCCTCAGTCCTCCAGAATGTGACCTTATTTAGAAAATGGTTGTCACAGGTGTAATCACTTCAGATGAGATCGGTAGAGTGGGCCCTAATCCAATACTGCCAATGTTTCTATGCCCTACAGGCGAGGAAATGTGGACCATAGAGAGTGCCGTGGGAAGGCTGGGGCCACTCTGCCACTGCCCAGGCACCATGGATTGGAGCAGATCTTTTCTCATGCCTCCCAAAGGAGTGGCCCCACTGACACCTTGATCTTGGACTTTCAGCCTCCAGGACTGTGAGACAATAAAGTCCTGCTGTCCCGAGTCCCCAGCCCGTGGTCCTTTGTCATGGTAGGCCCAGGACACAACTGTCTAAGGAAGGCAGCCTGACGCCGGCACCACACAGGTTGTGGAACCCAGGGCTAGTGTGACATCAAGGCTGTGTTTGCAGGAGTCTCATCTGTGTCATTAGTCCTTGTCTTTGCTGTGACTAGGGGGCTGCAGGCCAGGCTTCTCTTGGCGGCCATGGCCTCCAGGTTTGGGCCACACATAGAAAGCACAGTGGACCCCTTGTATCTCTTAGTTCCCATCAAAACACACTCTGCTTGGCCCAAGCTTTGAGAAAACTCATCTCTGCTCCAGGGCAGTGAGGGTTAGTGCACCTCTCTGGGCAGCCTGGAGCTCAAGGCCCCACGAGGCTGAGGGAGGCCAGCAAACTGCAAAAGATAGGTCCCAAGAAGGTGCAGTGGCCTGCTTCCCTTGGTGGAAACTGAGTCTGTAGCACACATGTACCAGGGAAGCATGGGTGGAGATGGGATTGAGAACCCCCAGGGTACTGTGGGGGGAGGTCTTGGTACCCTGGCATTGAGACTGGGATCTCAGCTGGGCTGCGGGTGGCCAGCCTCAGGCTCTTCCTGTGGCAGAAGGGAGAGATGGAAAGAGGCAGCCACTGACCTGCGGGAATGCAGGGGCCTCAAGCCCACCTGTCTTCCCACCCACCGTGACAACTTCACTGTGTCAGTTCTCACTGCTCTGTTCTCTACCTCCCTAACTCGAGTCCCAGAGGAAGCCCACCACAGGCCTCCCAAACTCCAAGGTGTCCAGCTTATGTTGACAGTTCAAGTCCTGGGCTCCAGCAGCTGATTCCACCCTCACTGGACACAAATTAATAAAGAGTATTCTCTGATGAAGTCATGCCAAGGGTGAGTTGGATCACAGTGAGGCTCATGGCACAGCCCTCCTCAGCAACACTGGTGCTTTAACGAGGCCCAATGATAATCCAGCAAAGCAGGAAGGAGAAGCGGGTGGGGCCCAGACACTCACCCTCTCCAGGAACCACTCGGGCCGGCTGCCCAGGCCGTCGATGCGGATCCGCATCTTGGTGAATGGAGCGATGTCCAGTATCTCCACGATGAAGGTGTCATTCTGCTCCCGCTCAAACCTGGGGGCCAGGAGGGAGCAGGAGCATAAAGAGGGGAAGCCGGACACAGCCAGAGCCAGCAGTGGGGGAAGGAGAGACGATGAGGCCTTTGCTCAGCCCTAGTCTGCTCCCAGCAACTCCCCGACAGCCTGGCTCTTGCACTCAAATGTGCTCACAAAGGATTGGGTTCAGTGAGTTTGACTGGTAGAAATGGCCCTGAGCCAAGCACTACTACTTCTGGGTTCTGATCTCATTCTGACAGTCACCTTGAACAGTTGCAGTCCTTTCTGGAAGGAGGTTTCCTCATCTGTAGTCTGAGGAGACTGACACTAATTCTGCAATTCCACAAAACTATCATGAAGACCAGAAGAATATAAAATCAACTCCAGAAGCAAAAAAGAATTTTATACTTGAAAAGCTTTAAATGAGAGTCTGTGAGTGACAGGGCCACCATGAATGGTGGGGCAGGCTGTACACTGTACAACTCTAGAAGGTATCATTCACATTTTTCTATGTGCAATCTGCATGACTGAACACAGCAGGCTCATCTTAGGTAATGCTACTGACAACTGTAAAATGGTAGCAAATAGAAGGTAACATTGCATTTGTTGCTATTATTATTTTTCTGCAGAATGACTTCATCATCGCAGAAATGCGCTATCTTTATTCCTTCCTGCTCTTCCCACAGTCCCACCTGTACAAGCGACCTTCAATGGTGACTGATTGCTTGACTGCTGACTGATTCCAGATGCTACTGCTGATAAGCCCCTGGGGCAGTGCAGGTGGCCCTGAAGAGGCGGTTCAAATGAGAATTGTTATGCTCCCTTGGATATAAGGCATAGTTTTAAAACCGGGCTACAGCCACTGGGGGCTGAGACTGCAAGTGCTGCCAAGTGGGAGCTGACTACTCCTGGTCTCAGACATTGCTGGGTCAGAGGCCTGCTTTCCTTGGTAACTTACTCAGGTGCACTTGTGCCTTCAGCTGGGAAGAGGGGCTGAGCGCATTGCTATGGCCAGTGTTGAGCTCCGGCCTCTGGGGACAGCATCTGACCACAGCGGTACTGCAGCAGCCAGCGTGCCACGCCTTCTCTCTCCCTGTGCTCCATCCTGGTCCCTCAGCTTTTCTCAGGGAAACAACTGCCTTGGATAGGAGTAAGCTGTGTCTGTGACACTTGCCCAGTGGGCCTTTCTTTCCAAGTCTCCTAGGCAAGGTGCAGACACCCCTAATAAGGACCCCGAGATACAGGCGCATCATCCGGACACACACAGACATGCAATAAAGCCAAATATGGCTTGGGTGAGGGTTTGGGCTTGCAGACCTGGGTGACTGAGAAATGCTGGCCCTTATAAAATAAACCTGCATTCAGAAAAACATCCTTTAAAGAACAAGGTACCTGGAAGCATTGACTCTATGGTTGTGTTTATAATGATGAGTAACATTCCAAGCAATGTTCTTTTGGAACTTAGACACTACCAGAGAGGAGATGCCTATCTCTCCCACCAGCATTTAACATCTTGGGCATCTATAAAATAAGGTGGAAGGCGGACCAGGGATTTAGCTTAGTGGTGTTGCTGATTGCCTTGCAAGCACAAGGTCCTGAGTTAGATCCCTGGTACAAAAAAAAAAAGGTGGAAGGCAAGTGTGAGATAATCAGCCAGAAGACCCAGGAATTTGGAGTTGGGTGGAGATTAGAGCTGGAGTACCAAGGTGAAGGCTATAAGGGGCTGATGCGCAGAGGCTCAGTAGCCAGAGCATGCATGATAATAGAGCCCCCCAAGCCATGGCCTCTATGGCAGTTGACTCAGGATGATTAGGACCTAGTCAGTGTCTGCTGGCCTCCTTAAGTTGTTCCTGTGAATGCACTCACAGGATGACCTGATTCTTCCTTGTGCACCTCCAGCCTCACAGTGCCACAAATATATGCTTCACTCTAAAGAGTCTGCCTTTGAGCCCCTGCCACGCCTGGTGATGGTGACTGACTCCTTGCTATACCAAGCTCTAAATAAACACCTCTGTTCTCATTGGATCTCCATTTATTCCCCCCAACTGCCTGAGTTCAAATCCCAATTCTCTCACTTACTGGCTGTGTCACCTTGGGCAAGTTATTTCATCTCCCTGGGTCTCTGGCACCTTATTGTAAAGTGGAGATGATAACCATGCAGACTCCAGGGGCTGTTGAGAGTTAATGTAGATTAAAAAGCACTAACAACATTGACAGTTTTGCAATTTCAGTAAATGTCAGCCATTGCATGGTCATCGCCCCTGCTGGTTGATCTGGGGAAGAATCCTGGGAGGAAACAGGAGGTGCATAGCAGGAGGGCAGAAGTGCTAAGAGGAAGTAGATAAAAACTATTCCCACCAGACCCCAGGAGGAGCTGTGGAGGAAGAACAAAGATCATGCTCTCTTGAGCTGCTCTGTCCACGGGAAGAAATCTCTGCCTGGTCCCCAAGAGCTTCAGAGTCCTCGTTGCTGTCACTGCTTCGTCACCATCATCACCCTCACCATCACTGTCATCATCACCTCCAGTCTCACTGTCCTCAGCATCACCTCCTAGGGGAGATCAGGAAGTACCCAGCGAATGTCCTCAATGGGAGGACAGAGCATGAGGGATGAGGAACTTGGAAAGAAGGCAGCTTAGAGCTTGCTGTCCCACCGATGGAAGGGCACAGGTGGTTCAATGGAAAGTGCCCGTGGATGGGTTTCAAAAATCCTAGGCCTGGGCCCTGAGTCTCTCTCCTCTGGTGTAACGATGGCAGGTGCTGGGGACATTGGGGCTTTGATGGTTGGACTCGGAAAAATAATACAAATCCTGGACTGTCCACACTGGGGTGCCAGGCACAGGCACGAGAATAAGTATTTTAGGAGGTCCACCTTACTATCTTTTCTAATCATGATTTAAGAGAATCCAAAGATTAGGACTGAAGAGATCGCTTCTCGGCCTTTTGGCTAAGATCAAGTGTAGGACTGGAGACCATCAGGGTACTTACTGGTTGTGGGACTGGAGTATCAAGACGTCCCCTTGCTGTGCCTCAGTTTCTCACCTGAGGAAGGGGAGTGACAACAACAACCCTCCTGGGGTGAGGGAAGGACAAGGTGTGTTGCTTTCCTTAGTTGGTGAGTCATGTGGGTCCAGGGCCCTTGCCTTTCCTGGCCCTTCTCCCTCTTCACCACCCGAGCCAGTGCCTGGCCTATACTAGATGTTCAATTGATTGTTAATGTTTTGCAAATTTATTGCTTTTTATTTTGCAGTCATTTTACACTCAAAAAGTTGCAAAAATAGAAGCCTTCTGTGTGTCCTTCACCCAGCTTCCCCTAAAGTTAGCATATTACATTACCATAGCACAGTGAAACAAACCAAGGAATTACCAACAATGCCACACCATCAGCTAGTCTGCAGACCTTACAGTGAGCATCCTTACATGCCTGGGTGAATGGTGGAAGGAAGAAAGGAATCATTATGGACCATGGTGATGAAGGAGGGCCTCCTACAGGAGGTGGGTTTGGACTGGCTCTTGAAAGAGAAAGGTGTCCAGACAGGGTGAGTGGTGGTGGAAGGCACCACAGGTGTGACAGAACCAGTGTGGCCGAAGGCAGTGTGGGGCAGAGGCCAGAGGGCTGGCTGTGTGGAGAGTAGAGGGAAGGGCTTCCTCCGGGTACCTGGCCTTCTTCTTGTCCAGCTGTACCTCTTCTGTGCTCCCGTTGATGCCATAGAGGGTCATAAAGATCCTGCAGTCAGTGCCCCCGCCGACCACATCACCCGTCCACACTGTCATTTCATAAAGCACCTGCCATGAGAAGGACAGGGCCCTGGGCTTAAGCCTCCCCCTTCAAGCTACCCAACATGTCTCCATCTCCCTAGGAAAGAAGGTGCACTTTCCAACCCCACCCTCTCTCTGAAAGGAGCCCTCCCAGTGTGGATGGCTGGAGAGGAAGAGCCAAGCCTGTTCCTCATGGAGGCCACCCTGTGCCCAGTTCAGCACTAGAGATGAGTCCAGTTCCGGCAGAGGTCACTGTGCAGTGGGAACATGGTGGAGTGAGTGTTAATTGATTCTGACAGTTGCTCCACACTAGTAGCGCACAGGGGCAGGACAGTGGCTTTGAGAGTCACTCAGAGCTCCATTTGAATCTGAGATCTGCCACCTCCCAGCCTTTGACCTTGGGCAGATGTCCCCCTCTCCAACCCCTGCGTCCCCTGAGGGAAACGGGCACATCCTTGGCAGAGCTGAGCGAGGTTCACATAGGTTTATGTTGGTACCTGGTGCTCAGTCTGCTATGTGCAAGGCCTCGAGAAACAGCACTGGTTCTGGTGTCCCCACTTCCTGCCACAGCCAGCTCACACCCTGAGGTCTGTGAGTGAGGAGGGCCACTGAAGGTAACATTTAAGGGGATCCTGTTTCAGTCCCCTAGGAAGTGAGACCATTGTCTGTTTGACTAATTTTAAAATTTAGATGGGATTTTGTTCTTTTGCTTAAAATTCACTCCAAGAAAAGTGAACTCCCTTTGTCTGTTTCCAATGGAGGTTAAGGGAGAGCTGCCCTCCCTGGGGATTCCTTCCCTGAGGCCCTGTCTTGATCTTCCTCTGAAGGAAGCCTTGTGACAAGAGGCATCACCTAGATCACAACCTAGAATGTTCTCTGTTCCTAGATTTTTACTGTGCTCCTTTTTATTAGGTGATCGCGGACTAGCAAGCAAGTCTACAAGTTCAGGAAAGGAGGAAAGACCATTCTGACTATCTCCTTGGAACATCACTGGCCTTCCCTCCCTTCATTGGCTGCCATGTCCTATCTCGGCTGAGTGGGTGTCTGGTCCCTACCACCCAGAAAGCCTGGATTCCAGAACCCCAGGTAGTTATCACAGTGGCTGTGCTCCTGCCATTGGGTCTGGGGGGTGGATACCTTTCTAGCAGTATCTGGAGTCTCCACTGTGACGCCTCAAGATCAGAAGTGCCCTATGCAGGGTGGGTCCACAAGCCAGCTCCTACAAGAAAACCCCTTGGACTGCCCACCAAGGGCACTTGTGATGGGCAGGAGGGGCTCCTGAGAATGCAGACAGAGCCTGACACTTTTTGCTCTTATCCAGGCAGGCATAAAGAATAAAGTAATAAAATGAGTGTCTTAGTGGCCTGGCGGTGACAAGCTTCTGAGGGCTGACCCCCGGCCCCTGTGTTTTCCATGTCCATCTCTCTCTCCTTCACACAGGTGCATCCATTTTTATATAGTTGGTGTGTTCCCCAAAAGAGACAGAAGCAGGGCTCCTGTATTTCCAGTCTGCTTTCAGGTGACGTGGGGACAGGGCCAGTCCAAAATGACACACCTGCGTTCCTTTGTTCCAGGAATAACCAGAGCATGGGGTGGATTTCAGGCCTACAGGGCTGGGAGGAAATGCCACTGCCCTGGGTGGGGTGTGTTGTGTGCTAGGGTGGCACACAGGCTGGAAGTGGGTCAGAGGCCAGTGATGAGTAGGGTGCTCACCCACGCCACTGTCTGACCATAGATGGAGATGTCCAGGACAGGGAGGCTGCCTGTGCCGCAGAGTTCAGTCCACTGTCCTGTGGGATGAGGGTGGGGGCAGCCCCATGCTCCACCCAAGAGGACTTTAGTGTCCAGAAAGCATAGTCCTCCTGCTGCTTCCATGCATGCAGGTCTAGCCTCTTAGGAACAGAGCCTACTGGTTTGGATTCAGAGACAGGCCATCTGTTGATCCCACAACTTGTGAGAGAGAAAGAGAAGCCTTCAGGGCCAGGTGATGGGAAACCCCTGGCCAACAGCTGACTGTGTGTCTTTGGCCTCCAGTCATCCTGTTTCCTGCCTGGCCCTCACCTGTGAACTCACACAATCTATCCCAGGGCATTCAGCCAGTTAGATACGGAGCACATTGCTCAGAACTCCTGCCTTCCTGGCTCTTCCAGGGAGGAAGTGTCTTGTGTAGAAAACACTCACTGCACTGAGAGATGTGGGGGTTCAGAGTATCCCAAGTGCTATCTTTCCCTATTCCCGTGCTATGTTGTGGGTGGAGCACCCTGGGAAGACAATGACCTGCATGGCTGCGTGGAGTTGTCACTTTGCAAAGCTTTCCATAGATGGTTCACGCTCATTAGTTCTGACCAAGATGTGACACAGGACAGGCCATAAAAAGAAGTACTATTTTCACATGGTATGAGAAGGGTAAGGCCCAGAGAGATCAAATGACTTTCCCAAGATCACACAGCAGCAGACCAAAAGGAAGTAGAGTCGCCTGACTCCTAACAAAGTGAGCCCAGCAAGCATACCAGGCTGCAACCCTGCTAGCAATATACAGCCAATTCCCCCCATACCTTCACCCCGATGTTTACCACCATGGCATCCAGGAGGTCAAAGACTCGAGAGGTAACACCATCGCCTCGGTCCTTGGCAAGCCAGCAGTTGCAGCGCAGCGTGTACTTGGTGCCGTGGGTGGGCACTGCCAGACACAGCTCCTCCACCAGCCAGCAGCTCTCAGGGGAAGCCCCATCATGGCCCAGCTGGCAAGGGACACACCAGCTCCATGAGGATGTGGGCATGGATGGGAGGAAAGTCCTCCCTGCTCAGCATCCCCTCCCTGTCCTGTACCCCATCCCCATCCTCAGTATTTCTTCCAATATGTTGGGCATTCACTGGATGAAGGCCCTTCCAAGAAGGAGAGGAGATTTTGTAGACCTAATTAAGGTCTTGAGACTGATTATTGGGAGTAATCAAAAGATGGCTTGGGGTAGGTGTAAGCTTATCACCTGAGCCCTTTAAAAGAGGGTCTGGAAGTCAGAGGTGGAAGAAGCCAGAGAAGTTTGGAGCTGAAGAAATCATCTCTTATCAACCTTGAAAAAACACACCAGTAAGTTTCAGAGATGGATAGCTACATGGTGGGGAACGGCAGGCAGCCTCTGGGAACTGAAGGCCTAAAAAATGGATTTAGCCAATGAACAGAGGGCTTGGGACAGGCCTCAAACATCAGAAAACATCACAGGACAGATGCAGTTGGCTTTCATCCCAGTAAGGCCTTGAGAAGTGGACAGAGCTAAGTTACATCTGGACTCTTCACCCATGAACAATCATACACTTATGTTGCTTTGAGTTAACAAAGTTGGTGGGACTCTGTTACACAGCAATAGCAAGCCAATACATAGGGTATCCCCATTGGGTGGGCAGAAAATAGGGATGCAGAGGGGTAGGTGACTAACCCAAGGTCACCCTGCTCATTGATGGTGGAGACCTCTGTATCTTCCTGTACTGCATGTTATAGGGGCCCCAGGTCATTCATTGCTTTGCTTGCCCTCCACTTCCCACCCCAAGTAGTGGCCTGTTCCTTCCTTCTCTATGGGCAGTCACCATCGCAGGGTCCCTAGGACCAGCACCTCTATTTTCTTGATGACACCCACGTCCAAGCCTCCAACGTAGAACTCCTCCACAGAGCTGCAGGCAAAGCCCTTCTTCCCCTGGGGGTAGTCCAGCCAGATGCGGTTGGTGCTCTCATCCTCCTCCCCAATCAGTATGACGTAGGCCCGGCTGTCCGTGGCTGCATCCTTGTGCTTCCCAGTGGTGACAGATACATAGTAGGGAATAACTGCAAGAGATCATGGTGGTCAGCTGGACAAGGGCGCAGCCATGTAGGATGGTGGACTTGGAAATGGCCTCTGGAGGGCGTTGACCCCAGCCCCCTGCTTGGAGACCATGTACAATGAGACTTGCCAGACTGCCACGTGCACTATGTTGTCTACTCTCCAGGAGTGAGAGAGCTGGTAGCTCCTGATATGAAGATGCAAGAGGATGTCTTTGTCACTTGTGTGGAGTGTCAAGCTTCCAAAAGCCCTTTGACCAGTGATTTTACTTGAACCTAGCACTAGCTGGTGAGGAAGGGTAAGAGCAATACCCTCTCCCCAAGTTCAGAAGTTATATGCCTGAAAATCTTACTATAGTCAGCAAAAATGAGATCTCAGAGAAAAGGCAAGAGCAAGGTCTCAGAGAAAGTAGGAATGAGAGGAAGAATAACAAACATGTACCATATATGTAACATGGTAGATGAAAGTCTAGAAGATATCCATTTCCAAATTGAACCAGACTAGATAGAATAAAAGCTTCCTCAGGTAGTGTGGCATGGATTTTTAGTTATCCACTCAGTTTTCATGCTTCTCATAGCTAGGGATGGTTATAATATGTAAGTAGATATTGTTGAGTGGCTTTTTGAGAAATCTTTTTTAAAGAGCCTGACTCTCCTGGAAGGAGTGCTCTTTTGCCCCTTTCCTTTCCATTCATTCTGCTTGAGATGTGAACATGATAGCTAGAGCTCCAACAGTCATCTTGGAATAATGTGCATTTAGGATGGAAGCTATTTATTTGTAAGGTTGCTAGAGTGACTAAGTTGAAGAAATGTAGGTCTCTGACTTCACTGGAGCTGCTATATTAGTCACGGATGGTCTATCTTTGAACTTTTATGTAAGAGAAAAGAACAATTCTAAATTTTGTTTAGGCCACTAGACTCCAGGCCTCTGTCATTCGCAGTTATTCGCTGATACAAGTTGGAAACCCTTCTCCTGCCTTATCTTCCTCAATAGACTGGAAGACATTGCCCTGGCATAGTGGCTTTCTGTTATGCAATGTGGATCTCTTTGGAAAGTTTCCAAACTATCCTTTCCTAGCTGGAATTATATGCAGCAATTTCTGCACCTATAAATGGCCTTTTTCTATCTTTGCAAAGAGAATGCTACTAGCCTTTCTACAACTGATCACAGTGCTTACTTAAGGACAAGCACTTTTTATGGGTACTGTCATTTATTCACAGAGTGACAAGGTGAAGTGTAAAGAGATTGGCTCTCTGCCTGACCCCACAATCCACCACATGGTCTCCTGGAGAGGAATATCATGGTTGTCACACTGTTATGCTTAAGAGAACTGAATAGAAGGCAGGGCACTGAAATGTTCAATAGACAAATATAGAACTGCCTTATCTCAGAAATCTGCCTGGTGAAATGCACTTGCCAGAGAATTATAATATTATTTTATGAAGGAAGGATAAACTGAAGCCAAGGGCAGAGTTTGCAATGATATATTGTATACCTAAAATGTACCAATGATTAGAATGAATAATCGATAATGTAAAATAGGAATAAAAGGTCCAAAGGGGTAGGGGTAGTGGGAGGCACAGGGGAAAGGAAAGAAGGGAAAGGAAAAAATGATGAGAAATGGAAAAAATGGAAATAAAGTCTTTGTAAATAGGGAAGGGTGGAGGGCGTGAAGGGAGAGCTAGGAATGGAGAAAAATAAGAACCAAGATGCATTATATAAAGGTACAATTCCCAATGAGAAATGTAATTGTGTTGTATGCCTACAATGTACCAATAAAAGAATTTAATACAAAAAAAAAAAAGACACAGGGGATTTAGCTCAGTGGTTCCACTGCCTGCCTCAAAAGCACAAGGACCTGAGTTCTATCCCCAGTACCAAAAAAATTTTTTTAATAAAAAAATAAAAAATGGCACAGATTCTAAATCCTCAAAAAAAAAAAAAAAGATACTTTCCTGGTCGAAAATCAGTAGATTAAGGACATCATCACTCTAACATCTTTAGCCTTTGCTACTCTATTTTATTATAGGGGCTCTCTCTCTGCTCTCTCTCCTCACAGGGCTGATGTGGGGATGAAAATAAGCAAAACATCTGAGGACTTGGTATATCACAAAGCAGGAGACCTGACTCATCAATGATGATAAGATTAATGGATAGGCTGCCCAAAAATAGCTTAAAAGCATTTCCGTATGCCTGCTCTTCCTTTAAAGAGCCTTTGCTGAGTTTACCTGGGCCCTCTTGAACATAGTCGACCATGGGCCCTGTCACTGTGTCAATGTCCACGTCAGCCATCTTGGAACTTAGAGCGATCTCCCAGAAGTCAGCGGGGCTGCTGCAGTTGCTACTGCGGTCTCCAGTGTACTCCTGTCCAGAAAAGCATGACTCTGGCTCTCTAAAGTTCAAGCACTTTTTCCCCCCATGGATTCCCCCATAAAGATGATGATAGGCCATGGCTGAGCCAGTGACTCGACCTTCTTTCTCTGTACCTTCTCATAAAAGAGCCTCTCCAACCGCCCATCCTCTTTCTTCAGGGACAACCAACGCCCACACAGGAATAGGAACTCATCCTCGTTGGTGTCATTCCAGATCTCCACCTTCTCCACATACCAGTCTGCATACCACTTGGTATTGTCATGGCGGAGCTTGATCTTGTAAATGACACCCAGGTCAGCAGCCTCGATTATGAAGGTGTCAGCCTGCAATGTGGAGACTTTCATGAGACAGCACTCATTCCAACCCACTCCAATCTCATTGTTCCAGGACCTCCCATCCTCCTCCAATATTGGGTTGAACAGATCTTCCTAGCTGGGGAGTCTTCCAGGACCAAATTCCTAAGACAACTATTTGATGTTCAAATTCATGACCTCAATTCCACAATGCCCCCATTTTACAGTCCACTCATCCAGGCAATGTTTTGGAGAAAGCTGGCTTCATCCAAATTTCTCTTGGAATGAGCCTATAGGAGTTTGAAAGATGGACTACAATGAGCTGTATGAGTGGGGAGCTGAGGGCCATGTGACAGAAGAGGGGCACTTAACACAGTCCTGTTAATTTTAGGCACTGGCAATCGACTGAGTTCATTAGAATAAAAATGACACATTCACTTCTTTGCATCTGTCAAAGACTTTTATATGTGTACAGGGATATTTATTGCATGACAACTTTTACAGTGGGAAACTGGAAGCTACCTGGGTCCACCATTTCTAGAATAGCTAAATAGCTTGGGCATAGGCTTTTCCATAGAATAAATGCATGCAAAGAAGAGCCGGCTCCATCTACATTTGAATATCTCCCCATTGAAAAATTTCCAAGGCATCCCACTGAAGGCTGAAGGCAAATGGAAAAAGTTTAATGCTATGATGCTTTTCATGAAAAAAGTGAAGGCACAGAGCAACATTATCTACTTTCTTTGGGGACATGCACAAGTAAGCAGAGAAAGTTCTGGAAAGGTGTGGAGACTGGAGAAAGCATGGACATTCTGGAAACTAGGCCCAGTAATCTGTAGGGGACATTGCAGGCAGGCTGAGCAGTGGGGGATTATGAGCATATCCGCAAATCCTGTGAGGAATTTAGGTGGGGTCTGTGACCATGGGACCCCTGAAGGACTATGTGAGGGGTCCCTCTGTTTGTTTTGCATGGGTTAATGACGAAGCTGGAGGATGGATTGGCTGTTGAGGCCTGGAGCAGGGAGACCAAGCCAGTTCACTAAGCAAAGCCAGAGGAGAAAGGGATGAATGTGAGGGGCTAAATTGATCTGAGATATTGAGAGGGGAGAATATCCTGAACGACTGGATGTGTGGTGAGGAGGGTGTGCTCATAGGCAATGGGGTGTCAAGGATAACTCTTGGATTCCAGAGAAAGTGATTGGAGAAATGAAACTTTGAGATGCTAGGTAGTGAACTTGAAGTCACAAAAATAGTCAGTACCTGAGCCAGATGTATCTCCAGCTCTCCTGATGGAGCATTAAAAACAGAAGAAAGGAAGACAGTGATGGGAAAAATGAGCAAAAACCTTTCTTGTGATGCAACAATTACAGAGACAGAGGGCGAGAGAGAAAGAGAGAGAGACAGAGAGAGCTGAACACAGAGGAGAATAGATTGCATCTCATTCATTTATTCCCTCAACACATATTTATTGAGTACCTTTTCTGGGGGCCCAGACTCTGTAAATACAGCCATGAACAAAAATCTGTCTAACAGCTGTATACCGCACATTGCTGTTTTACCAGTGCATTTACCAGGCATCAGTGCAGGCAGGGGACAGGTGAGGTGATTGTGTTCCAGGCATGGTTCTGTTAGCTCACATGTTTTAATTTAGTTGACTCAAAATTAACTCTATTTTATGGTTGAGGAAAGTGAGGCACAGAGGTGTAAAGTAACTTGCCCAAGATCATATAGAGGGTGAGTATTAAACCAGAGCCTGAACTCAAGTGATCTGGCCCCAGTGTCTGGGGACCTGAATAACTGTGTCCCTAGTAGAGTCAGGGACATCATAAAAATCTACTTGATCTCTTTGGCTTTCCATTTTTCCAAAATGGAAAGAAGAGAATAGATCTTCTCCTAGCTACTCTTCATGGACAGTGAACAATGTGTCGCTGTGGGGTGTGGGGGTGACTCTTAAATTATTTTTCCCTGTTATGAAGTATTGTTACATCATGTCCTATTTTTCAGTCTATAGGTCTAATTAGCAATCACATTACCATTCCTGCTTCAAAAGTAGAAAACTGAAGTTAAAGGTGAATGGATTCTATCTGGATCACAGAGCAAATGAATGGGAATGCTGGGGTTTATCTTCCAGACTGGGGCTTCTTCCATGAAGCCTGTCTTGGAGTCATCAGCCCCTGAAGATCCATGTAGATGACATAATTTTTCTTGTCCTAGAGCTAATTTCCTCCCCACCAGTATCAAGTGCCTCAACACTGAAGGCTCATGCCTGGGTGAGAGTCAGGCTTAAGGACATTTCTGATAAATACCCATTGTTTGACATGAAGTCACCACAGACATATGGTCATGGGCAAGATCACGGTTTGTAATAGGAGCCTAGTCCCCAAATCTGATCTCTTTAGAGAATGCCTGGCCTATGGAGGTTGCAGTCAGATTTAGATGAAAAGGGAGAAAGAAGAGAGACTAGATCAAGTGAAAGGGTAAGGCAGAAAAGGGATAGAAAGAGGGTCTGTGGTAGGGAGAAGGAGGTTGAATTGGTGGGAAGGGAAGTTTGGCAATGCCCACCTTTGGGCCCCTCTGGACAGACTTCTTCCTTTTTGTAAAATTGTTGTATCTCAGAGCTGGAAGGACCTTAGGTATTTTCTAGTCATGTGGTTTTCAAGTCTTTTTATAGCCACAGATGCCTTCGCTTAATAGAGGCCCTGTGTGGCACACCAACAGATAGGCCAAGTCAAAATGGTTCTACCTGGGTGGTCATGGGGAGCCCATCTCTCCCCCTGCTCCCCTGTTGTCTCTGTGTTCCCAAGAGCATTGGTGCTGCCCAGGGCTCTGCACATCACAGTTTAGCCAATTCATATTTGACTCCTCATTCTACAGATAAGAAAACCGAGGCCAAAGAAGTTGAATTAGACAAGGAGCAGGTGGCAGCATCAGACTTCCAGACCGCCAGGGGGAGCTTCTGTTGGCACAGCCCCGGCCACCCAATAGCCTTCACCTCCACATGCAGGGACCCCCCCCCCAACCCTCCCCAACCACCATGAAGAACTGGATTTGCTGATGAAGATGAGCCATTCCCATGTAGCCAACAACCTGGAGTCAGGCCCTCCTTGGTCCCCCAACCCAACTGTAGGACCCAAGGTGGGTTCATCAGCTGGCAATGGGGGATAAGTTATGCTTTCAGGGTAAGGGCAAGGTGAAAACCTCAATGAGGATGCATGACACCTTGAAAAGTTCCTGGACATCCCAGGATCAAGGAGAGACAGTGGCCAGATAACTGATGTGAGGGAAGGAAGGGAAATGGAATAAACTCAATGTATTTCCTACCGTTCCTCTCTCGAACTTGTTGGTGCGGTTCTCAGACTTGCCAAGGTACCGCTCCCCAGTGTCCCCGAGGTCCCCGTAGATGGTGATGTAGACCTTGGCATCTGTGCCTGCCCCAGGAATGTTCCCTGTGAAGATCTGCACCGAGTACAGCACGACTGGACAGGAAGTTGGAGAGACAGACAAAGAGAAGAGAGGATGACAGCAATTTAAGTCTGGGACTGGGTTTGTAGGAACTATAGAGATCTCTCTGGCCTTGAGAATGCAGGGCCTTCCTGTCATCTGCTCAGTGATGCATGTTTGGCCACACTCTGTGTAGCCTCCCTAGTGGTAGTAGGTGGTAGAGTTGCCCATCACCTCTCAAGCTATCCATCCACACAGTGACCTACAGTGTCTGGGGAGAAAGATGCAGAAAACTTCCTCAAATGTGTGCATATTGCAGACACCAAATCTATCTGCTATGTTGCACCAACAATGATATGCCTTTCCATTTCACTGGTATCAGTGTCAGATCCTTCTAACTGGATTATGGAAAAAATACAATATATTTTTAAAAAAACTAGTCCTTGAGCATCTTTCTTTACACCAATTATCGTTCAGCTCACTAGTGCCCCTTGTCTGCTGCCAGTGCTCCAGCCAAACTCCTCTCCCCAAAGCCACAATGGTAGCCACCCTCTCCTTTGTCCCCATGGCTCCTGGGAAGGACACAATACATATCAAGGTGACAATTATGAAGCGTTCTTAAGGAAAATAGAAACTTGTAGTGTCTAGTTTCTGTGTTGCTGCTTCTTAAAGAAGAATAAAGCAGCTCCTTTCTCAACCTCCCACCCAGCAGGAAGAACAAATCTCAAACATTTGACTGTCAGGGGTGCTTTGTCCCCTCTCCATTTTCCTCCATTCTAGAAGGTTTGGAATTTCAGGCCAAGGATGGGGGACTTAGCTGGATCATTGCCAAGGGTGTGGCAACAATGGGATGGAAGCTGAAGCTCTGAAGGGAAGGGTAGAGGTGGCTAAATGGGGAGGAAGATTCATTTCCCTCATTCTAGGAAGCCAGGGCCCTCACCTGCACAGAGGCCCAGTAGGGAGATGGCTGCCAGGCTTAGGTGGGTGACTTGAAGCTTGCAGAAGACCTTATGATCAGAAAAGAAGCTCCTCTGCACAAGTAAAGGTCCATGCAGTGCTATTTCCTGCCACCCAGGGAGACGACGCCTGAGTTTTGGCAGCCACAGTGGCACTGCGGGGCAGGAGAGCACAGGGAGGAGTGGGAGCCTGGACTAGGTGTCAGGCCACTCCTGTGAACCTCAGGATGCTCATAGATCCTGGGAAAGGGGCTCCCCTTCCTACAGTGGCAGAGCTGGGTTTTCTCACCAGCCCTTGCAAGTAGGCTTACAGCCTCCCCCAATTCAGTTTCAGAAAGCAAGGTGCTGTGTGGCCTTCTCACTGGCACCCACTGTTATGGACACACTCACACCCACGGCGTGGTTCCTGGTGTTCCTTTCTTTTTTGCTTGGATTCCACAGCATTGCACCCTCCTTCTGCCTCTCTGGACACTCTTTCTTGAATAGTTTCATGGATTCTTCATCTTCTGTACCCCAGGAACACCAAGTTATCTCTGCTTCACCTGCATCCCTGGGCTGTCAGCCTGCACAGCATGGCATTATCTTCCATGAGTTCTGGAATCTGTATCACCAACCCAGGTCCTTTCTGGGCTTCAGACCCTGACTCCTGTCACCTCGTGGTCATCCCCACCTTGACTAGACCTCAGGCCCACAAATTCGTATGTCCAAACAGAGCCCTACCCCTCTGCACCCTCACCTCCTTTCCAAACCTCCCAACCTGCCTCCCTGTCCCTGTAGCCTGCTGTCCAGCCCTTGCTTTCCAAAGGAGCTTTGGAGACACACCTACGTCTCCCAACAGGGGCAGGAACCAGGGGCTACTCTTGCCTGCCTCCACCCCTGCCCTGAAGCAGCAGTTCATATGCTGGATTAACAAACGAAATCTCTTTGTTGCTTAAAAGAGCCAATATCACCTGAGTCTGCCAGGCTCACACGGACGTGATGTAACATTAGGAATCTTGTCACAGCTCAGACACAACAGTCAGCTGTCCTCCTTCCTTGCTCCCCCCGCCCTTCCTGACTGTATTCCAGCTTGTTCCCCATGTGGAATCATCACAGGTGGGTGGGCCCGTTCAGATACCTTTCCTAGGAGTCTGTGTCCCCAAGTGGGATGCTGTGTCCCCAGGGGCTGTGACTAAATGGCCTGCCTACTCCCCCGCTGCTTTTAGCAGCCCTCTGGGGGTTAGGAAGACTGATTCAGCCTCTGGGTGCTGAGCTATGTGGTTGTGCAGGATCCTGCTATTTCTGGATCCTCCTCTCTCCCAGTCCCACTCAAGCACCACAGCTCCTCTGTGGAAGGATGTTTCCTTAGAAACACCACCAAGCTCACAGCAGGTTGTGTGGCATGTGATTCATACAGAGCAGCCCAAGTGTGCCTCTGGGACGGCTTTCCAGGGCATCCTCTGGGGTCCAAGCAGAAAAGAGAATCATCCCCTTGATTTAATAGCACAGAAAACATGGAGATGGGATAAGGGTAAGGAGAGGCCCACTCACTACCAGGGCACACTTGCTGCTCTTTCTACATGAGTGGCAGCCCAGATTAAAGTAGGGTAGGAACTATGGCTGTTTACTTCCAGTGGTAAAAAAAAAGAAACAATGTTTGTCTTTTGTCTTGTGGCTGTCTTATCAGTTTAGCAGGCAGGAAGATCTGCTCCCCTAACTCCATATGGGAATCTTGGGTCTTATTGGAATCTTGGGTTTAATCCAAGTTTTCCAGGAAGGCAGCACCACAAAATCAAACTGGATTTCCAAACTCTTGGAGCTCCTCATAGATAGCCTGCTAGAGAGGCCTAGAGGAGTCTTTTCCATATCATCAGTGGTAGAAAGTCTGGCTTTTGCATGTGAAGTTGATTTTTGAAATAGCTGAAGCTTACTTAGGGTTGAATGGCAGGTGAATAATATGGGGATTGATATGGACAGTGTCATCACTCATCAAAACAGAGGTGTGACTTTGTCCATGTGGCACACACACACACACACACACACACTCACACACACCCCTGGTTAGAGAGAGAAGAAGGCTGTGGAATGAGCCTTAAAGAACAACCCTGGCTCAAGAAAGGAAACAGCACTCAATGGGCTACTTGGAGAGTTAGGAAGAGTATCAGAATATGATGGTGTCACCAAAAGCAAAGGAGGAGGCAGCAGAAGTGAATGGTCAGGTTGGTGCAAATCCTCCAGAGAAAATCACAGCCATGAAGAAGGGACAAAGGTGACTGGCTCATGGAGAAAACAAGCCCATGATCTGGACACTCTGCAGCTGCACCCAAATACACCATGGCTTCAGTTACATGTCAACCCAGGTGATACCTCTCTTCTCTTCCTCTCCTTGTTCCTGTCCCTCTTCCTTTCTCTTCCTCCCACCCTCCCTCCCTCCCTCCCTTTCTTTCCTCCTTTTGCTTCTTTGTGGTGCTGGGAGGGAGCACAGAGATTTACCATTGAGCTAGACTCTAGCTCCAGGATGTTTCTTAATTCATACTTAACTGAAGCAGCTGGATCCAGTAAGAGCAGAGAGGATTAAGTCACACACCAAGCCAAATAAGCAGAGCAGGGAGAAAACCAGAAGTAGGGTAATTTAGGCACAGGATAGCTTCTATTAGAGATGCATTAGCACAATGGAAGACCAAGAAGGAATTTAACACAACTTTGGGAAACAGGCAGACTCTGAAGACTAGCTTTGCCATGTATTAGCTGTTAGACCTTGGGCAGCTATGTAACCTCAGCAATCTTGTTGCCCTCTCTATAGGACAGAGATGACCATAGATCCTTCTCTTGAGCAAGAAGGCTCAGCTTGGCCCGGGGCAGGTGCTCCACAAGGACCATGGTCCTGGAGCTGCTTATGGGAATGACAGTGACCTCCTACACTTACTGTCTAGAGGCTCCTCCACTTCTTTGTAGACTTGCCGTAAGGACCCATCTTTCATGTATTTCTCAGTGAAGATGTCATAAGGGACCAGTTCTCGAATGGTCTTCTTGTCATCCTCAGAGGCGGCAAGCCATCGATCACATGGAAAAGTCAAGGTCTCCGTACCCTGGGGTGAGGGCAGGGGAAAGGAACATTGAACCTTGATATGGAAACTGCCAACTTCAGTGTTTCATCAGTATGCTTATACCCATCAGGACCAAGTTTAGGGTCATGGGCTTCCACAGATAGTGCAAAAACTGCAGGGAAGAGTTTCTGCCCCAATTTTAGCAGATCCAGTCTTACTTAAAGGCTTTCACAACTATGCCAGGAGTTGGCTCTTGAAGGCTAGGCTTCCCAAGTTCTCTTCAATGTAGATATCTGAGCCCCACTTCAGGGACTCATAACAAGTGAGTGAGGGCAAGGGGCTCTGTACTTTTAAATTCCTCCTAAGTCATTCACATCCATAGTTGTGACTGAGAGCTTTTCAAGATTTAGAATTTTGAGGTTTCAAAATGTTTTCCAAGTCGTTCAGCGTAGGTTTTCTTCTGTTAGTTCGCCTTGAGTAGCAGGAAGGACAAGGTGGTCACTCACTAATAGTATGGCCTTGGGGGTGGGGAGCAGAGACATGAGTTCTCAGCCTGTCCTCCGTGACTACTACACCAGGTTGTAGTAGATTCCACATTGGACCTGAGCTAGTTCTTATACTTGAGTGAACTGGGTGTTTTCAGAAGATTTTATCTCAACTTAACAACGCTGAAGCAGCCAGCAAAGGATTCTGCCTAGAAGGGGCAAAAAGGACAGCAGGATAGACCAATGAGAAACTCACATCTTTGTCTGGAAGGAGCCTGCGGATGTCCACATGAGAGCAGTGCCACCCAGGATTTATGCCCATATTGTCATGGCCAATCCGAATTTTTTCAATGATTTCTCCCACATCTTCTAACTTTGGAAAAGAGAAAAGATATCAGATGTTGGAAAAGAGAAAAGATATCTTAGTAACCCTCTGCCCGCCCCCCCCAGGGCAACTCCCTGAGTCCCTTTGAATTCCAGGGGTCACATTCTCTGAATACTTCTGCACTATCCCACCAGGCCAACCCTCTTCTTTGTACATTGCATGCTCAGATCTCACTTTCTTGCTCCCCACTTAGAGTCAGTCTTGATGCAAGCATTCTGTTCAATGCCCTTCTCTAAGTTGTGGTCTCCTCTTCAGGGTGGAACCCAGCCCCATCTTCCATCACTTGCTGTTGCAGTTTGGGAATGAATTTGATATCAGAAGAGGAGTTCTGATTTTGCCCTTGCTCTTGTTTTGCCAGGCTGACCTCACTCAATCCCTCTGACTCCTAACAGCCTCTCTGTTTTTGCCATTCCTTTTCTGGACTTCCACAAGTTCTAGTCCCTCAAACTCAATGTTCTCTTGCTATACTAGACCTTTGCTTGGGTTTTGCTGACTCCTCTCCTTTCCTCTTTTAACGCAATCCAGTACCTATCCAATCACATAACTCAGGTCACAGATCGTGGATCATGTCTTCTCATTTCATTGTACTTCCCCAAGAGTCAGATCTCTTTCCAATGGATCTTGTACCATGGTGTTTTTCCCCTTGGAGCACTTCCCACAGTGCCAAGTTTACATTTATTTGTATGACACCTACGGTCTCCTCCACCACTGTATCATACCCACTTTTTCCTCCACTAAGGAGAGGCAAGAGCACATACCATGTTGCTCACCAAGGTGTCTGCCAAGCCTAGAATGGTGCCTGTGACATAAATACTCAGCAAGTATGCACTGAAAGGTTGAAAGAATGAGTGTTTTCTAATCTGCAAGGTGGGAATGATAAAATCAGCCAGAGCCCTCCCCTGCATAATATGATGGTGAACCTTTCCCACAATGGCATGCGGAAAAGCTGACATGTGTGTGCTATGGTGAGCCCCTGAGCTGAGGCATCAAGAGTCTGATCTTTTCTCTGCTTCCTGGAGCCAACAGGGACAGGGTGAGGGGCTTAGTCAGGACAGATGGATCCCTGGACCCTTGCAGGCTCACTAAAGAGGCAGTGATATGGTCAGACACAAGACAAGGCCATCTGCTCACCTGGCACATGCCCTCTGTACCAAGATGCCCTCCAATACCCCATCGGCCTTGACTCAAGCACCCCCAGGAGCCTTGCTGGCCTCTCTAGGTTCTCATGTGTCATCTTCTCCTTGGAAATGATGCTTTATCACACCCAGATTCATCTATAAGAAGATCTGGGTCAATAACAGCATAAGAAATAGATGAGGAAGAAAGGCAAAGAGAAAAGGGCAAGCAGATGCAGTGATACCAGGATGCCCTGGCCCAGAGCTAGTCCACGGAATTTGTATCACAAGTGACAGTTGAAGGCTTGGGGCGGGTATCTGCAGACTTGAGTTTCCTGGCAACCTCTGCGGAGGTGGTCATACAGCCTGCTCCATCAAGATTTCAGATGTCACAGAGAAGTGGCATCATCAGCTCTGGTGTGAATGGAGAGCTCACCAAGAAAGAATGGTGTCTGAGTGATTGATTGAGTCATTCACCAAATGCAAAGCCTTCATATCATGGACACAAGCAAGCTCTGAATGAACAGGAGCTGCCTCTAGCCTCTGGCTTCCTCCCTCTCTGCTCCTCCCCCCTTCCTATCAGAAATGCTTGGCAAGTCTCTCTCCCTTGCCCTGCCCTTCCCATTTTAGCACTGATGCTGTGTGATTTTAGACAAGCTACCAGGACTTAACCTCTTCATCCATAAAATCCTGAGAATGGTGTCTTAGTCAAAGACAGGGCCATGTGTGGGACAACTTCTTTTTTTTTTTTTTTGGTACCGGGGATCAAACTCGGGACCTTGCGCTTGCAAGGCAGGTGCTGGAATCACTGAGCTAAATCCCCAGCCCCATGGAACAACTTCTTGAGGTCATGTCTAGGTCTAAGACCACAGACATTAGTCTTTTTTGTTACCTGTTCTCCATCCAGTTCTAAGTGCCCCACAGAGTGCCACTCTGCTACAAACTCTGTGGTTTGACAAGGATGTCCACCACCAACACCTACTTCCTTCAGAGTAGCAGGACTTCATGGTCACAAGGGCCTCTGAAAGTCTTGTGAGCTGCCGAGGGCTCCAAATCATTCAACAAAGATCAGTGTCTTTAGGCTGATGTTAAGTACCACGGACACTTTCAAAGAGCCTTGTTCTTTTCTCATCTAAGAGGCACAGATGCCATAGGTAAAGACCTTCATCCACAAGCGTTCCACTGAAGATCCAACTGCCTGGCAGGACCAGGAAGTGAACAGTCATCTGCTTCTCTTTCTGTCCACAGGCCTCTTTTCCTCCTGCCCTGTCCCATCATTTTGAGGTTTGATTCGTGTGAGTCTGTGGCTTCAATGGCACTTCTATGACCTATTAAGGTCCAGCCACTCAGTTGCGTGTACCAGGGTTGCTGTCTCAGCTGCAACCCTTCAGTCATGGCCAGTGGGCCTTGGAGACTGAGTCAGGGAACAGCAACATCAAAAGGGACCTAGCATTCTTCAGGGAGGTGAAAGCATTAAGCAGGGCGGGCTCTGTAGCTGACTGCTGAGTGTAGATCCTAGCTCTGCTGCTTGATAATACTTTGAACAAGTTTCTTACCTTCCTGTGCTCTGTTTGCACATCTGTAAAGTGGGAGGATTATATAGACAATCTCTTGGAAATGTCACAGGTTGATCCATATCAAGTGCTTAGAACAAGGCTGGTCCATGGAAAGGGATCATGGACCCTGAGCTCTTTTTGTTCTTTTCCAAGACAACTCTGTCTTAGGATGGGCATAGAGAAAGGTTGTGACTTTCTCATGGATTAGTAGCTGAGCTAGAGTCAGAACTTAAGGTAATGGACTCACAACTCAGTGCTTTAGCTCTCACTTGAAGATTTATCAGAAAAGAGAAGTAAAGAGGGACACATTTAGGAGGAGAGACAGGCCAGAAGACAGAGCCCCTCCTTCGTTTTCCTTAAGACCCAGGTATACTGGAAAAGAAAAAAAAGAAAAAAAGAGCAACAAATTACTGGCAAATTAGAGCTGTCTGTGGGTAGGGACTTCATTAATAAAAGTTCCAGGAGGTCCTGCCAAGGTGTAACTGCAGCCTCAGCCACTGACAGTGTCGGGCTCAGTGACTCATGTACCACGACATCTCAGCTGGGGAGATGCCAGCTTCATGGATAAATGAATCAGCCTTGAATTCTCCTTGATAAAAAACACAACAAAGGCAAAAGGCTTTCCCACAGTGTTGCTCCAACAGAATGTGGGAAAGGAGAGGGGTCTAGGGGATAGTGACTGGGCAAGGATGAAGACATGCACTGGACTTTGTTTCCTATCAGAAAACAAGGGGTATGTCTCCACAGATCCCTGCTTCCCAACAGTCCCAGCTCCTGAGGCTCCTGGATCTTCTCCCAGTCCTGCTTCACCCCTGTCCTCACCCCAGGCCACATCATGCTCCTCCTGTGCCCTCCGGCCAAACCTCAACCATGCTGAACTTATTTCCACTTCTTGACTACAAGACATGCTGTTCCCCTCACCCAAAATGCCTCTCCTTTGTTCTGCTTATGCCCACTTTCATGGTGAGCTCAAAGCCACCAACCCTCCTTCTCCAAACACCTACAATAATCTCAGTCCACCTGCTAGTCTTCAGCAATGGCTAAGAGCATGTATTCCAGAGCCAATTCTGTGGGTTTAGGTCCTGCTTCCATATGTCTTAGCCATGTGGCTTTAGGCCACTAAACTTGCTAGGCCTTAGTCTGCTCCTCTTTATGCAGGGATGGTTACAGCACAGAGTCATTCACTGAATTGATATAGATCAATCCCTTAGGTTAGTGTCTTCTGACCCATAGGGTCAATGATGATGATCATCACCTGACTCTCACTAGCTCTGTGTGAAAGTCTGGGGTCTCCAACTATACACTGCAACTCCCTTGCCAGGCAGGCTCTGGGCTGTCTTCTCCTCTTGTGTCTCCCACTCCTCCTAGCACACAACAGGGACCATACAGGCACCATATGCACTGAATGGAGGAGGGGTATATGATTTCAAGTCACTAGGACCTACACTCAAAACATCAAACAATAAAGCCCCTTGTATGGCTGGCATCCAATATGTCCCCCAGGGAAGTTATTGGATCTAGTGGATTAACCCATTGATGAGATCATAACTTGAAGACATTACCTGGAGGTAGGAGATGGCACCTAGTTCCAGAGACTGAATCATGGGGTGTGACCTGGGAAACTACATCTAGTCCCCACCTATTTTTCTCTGGGTCAACTCTCATATTCTCTCTCTCCCTCTCCTCTTCCTCTCTCTCTCCCCTTCCTTCCTGGCTGCCATGAGGTAAGCAGCTTTCCTCTACCATGTTCTTCAGCCATGATGTTTCTGCCTTACCACAGACCCAGCAAGAATGGAGCCTGCTGACCAGCTGAAACCTCTGAAACCATGAGCAAAAATAAACCTTTCTTCCTCTAAGCTTACTTTCCCAGATATTTTGTCACAGTAGCCCACAAAAAAGTTGACTTTCACACCTCCATTTTCCACACTTGGAACATACAGGACATTCTTCTGTATCAGATGGTTTCCCTCTAGCTTGAAAGCTGAGCATCACATGATCACTAGTGATGAGATTCCTAGCTGCCCCAGCACCCCTGAACCAGCTAGCCTAGAAGCCTCACTCCACCTGTGGGTATGTCTGGTGGTGAAAGCACTGCAGAGGCCCCATGGACATTATTTGGCCAAGTCCTTCTCCCTTGTCATTGCCTTTGACTTTGATGCCAATACGGAAGGGACAGGCAAGCTTTACCATCCTCCCGATTGAATGCTGGTACTGAGGCCCAGAGAGGATGGACGAGATGCCCATCTTCCACTAACAGCGGCCCATCAGGGATGAAGGGACAGTCTTGCCCTCAAGGCAGGGCTGCTGTCTCTCCTCTCTGACCCTCCCATCCAGGGCAGCCATCTGGGCAAGTTACCTCCACAATGAAGCGGGAGGCAGACTTTCTCTCAAAGAACAGCTTCTGTTCCCTCTTGTTGGTGCACAGGAACTTCTCCCGAGTGCACACAGCATCGCAGCCATAGATGATGATGAAGATGTTGGCATCTGTTCCAGCACCAAAGACATCACTGGTGTAGAGGGTGATCTCGTACGGGACAACTGAAGGGGGCAGCCAGAAGTCAAGGTCAGAGAGGGTGAGAAAACAGAAGCCAAATGCAGGTGAGGTCAACTTCTTTTCCAGCACCATCTGCCCAGACCTTTCCCCTAGTAAGCTGCTTCCCATGGACTTGAACCTTCCTAGGCAACCACAGCTGGGGTCCTATCATGCTCACCACCCACTGAAAACCCCTAATCTCTCAGACGAGGGTTTTTAAGCCTCACATAGCACAGGGCTAGTGCAGTAGACTGGCTGAAGGCACAGGCTATGGAATTTGGCAAACTCAGGCTTGACTTGGCCCTGACTTGATTTTTACTGTTACCCAGGCAAGTTACTCATAGACCTTGGATTCCATTGTCTGTAATGTGCTCTCAACATGATGCTTAACTGGACTCTAGGTAACCAGAAGCATTAGGTTTCAGGGGCAGCTCACCAGTCAGCTGGTGGTAGGAACTTTTTCTCCTCTCTCTCCATCCCCTGATCCCAGTCTCTCACTTGCTCCAGGCTTGGTTTGCCCTCCCCAGCTCATCCATGCTACATCTGGCCCCTCATTCAAGTCCCCTCATTTTAAAGAGGCTCCTTCAGGGGAAGGAACAGAAGGAGGTGAAAGATTCAGCTGAGATTACTCAGCAGGCCCACCCCAGGATTGTCAGTCTTGAAGAGAGTGGGCCCATCAGTGCTGTTAGCACCAACACACACAGGGACCATCATGTCCCCACAAGTGTGAGCTGGGGACCCTTCCCTTCAGGAATGCTTGGGGAGCTACAGAATTGCAAACCACTCCTCAGATTGCCCATGGGTGGGTCCAACTCATACTTTATACACTGAAGTTTGAAACCAGTTGTCTAAAACAACGTATCTCCGACTATCGGTTGAGATTCACTAGCAGGTTGTGAGATGAGTTCAGTGAGTTGTCACAGATGTTTTAAAATATATATGGAGTTGAACAGAATTGAATGGAAAGTATCAGAGAGCCTCATACAGGGCAAGGGTAAATTTTTGTCACTTTTTTGCATATGTATATGAATGTGTATACTTATTCTGGGAGGAAGGAGAGGAAGGAGGAGGAAAGAATGCAATGAAGTTTCAGAGAAATAGTTCAAGGGAAAGTCTACCCTATCCTGTGACCCTTGAAAGGAGTCACACTAGGAGCTACCTTCTCTCTGGGGACCCCATCCTTCTCCAGATGAGGAATTTGCTTTTTTGTGTGTGGTCTATATCAGGGGTGCTTTGCTGTAGCACTGCAGTGATAATACTTGTAATCATAATAGCTATCATTCAGCAAGCACTTACTGTGTATCAAATTCTATACTCAGCATTCTGTGCTCTTTATCTTTTTTCACCCTCACAACGATCGCATGAAGTAGACATTCTTTTTTTTTTCCCTTAAGTTTATTGGTACATTTTAGGTATAAAATACAGTTACATTCATCATTGGGATCTTGTACCTTTACATGATGTATCTTGGTTCTTATATTTATTCCCCTGCCCTCCCTTCACCCCCTCCACCCTTCCCTATTT